AGTTTCCTTGGAGTCCTGCATGTGAACCACACACACTGCAGCTTGATGCTTCTGTGTGTAGCTGCTGGTTTTGCCCTTGCTCTACAGCTGACCTTGCAAGGTCTTCCTTTCACAGTAATGTTTGTATTTTATTCATTTTCAGTTTGAAGTCTGCACTTCTGTAACGGTGTTTATCCCAAGATGTGTGTTCACATGTGGGTAGCAATTGCAATAAATAAATTGATTTACAGCAAAGCAGAAAAACTGATTGCATGCATGAACCTTACATGCATCTCCTCTGATTTGCACGGTATCTTTTACATTGTGCCAAAATTAGACCTATTTGTTCCATCAGTTTCTCCATTTGCTTGACAGTGCAGAGCAGAAACTTCTCACTACATTGTGGATCTCTACTTGCAAACTGATTTTTGGTTTTTAACGTGTTTACTGAATGCTTGAACAAGAAGATGACAAGTAATAGCTACATGAAGTTAGCCACAGTTTTTGAATTCAGCAGCAGAGGTTTGATATGGTGTAGTATCTAATTGCTATTACTTTAATCACTAGATTCTTGTCATTGACTAGAAGTCATTCACTAGAAGCCATTTCTGCACTGCTAGAAATTATGCATCTGTTGTCACACAGTTCTGTGTGAACTTCTTGGCAGTAGTGAGTGCTGAGGCTTTTCTTAGCAGCCCTTCTTTTTGGGTGCATACCACCAGTCACTTACTGGACACATAAGAGATTTTATGTTAACCACCTATAAACACAGATATTATGGCTCTGTATTATGGTTCTCGATTATCTTCATTCTGAACTCTGGCTAAGAGCAGCTTAAAAAAGGTCCTTATTTGCGAAAGTGTTCACAATTGACATTTGCTTTTCTGGGACTTTTCTTGTGTGTTGATCATCTTCCAGCCACTCATGCCTCTTGAGAATAATGATTTTTTGAAGAGGATATTTTGAGATTCTAATAGACACCTTAGTAACATAGTTTTCTTTTCATAATGTGTTGTATTTTCATCTTCTGTACAGTAACTACTACCTATTCTTATGGGTGTGGGGTAGCAGTACAGTAAGTATAGTCGAGGTATTGTTTGTAAGAGATATGAATATCATAGATTTCTTCTTTTGTAATTCTACTATTTCATAAAATACAACCACAAATGATTAAAGTTCTCAGCTTTCAAGGGGTTGCTTTATTTTAAGAAGTGTCTAATACCTCATTAGACTTCCTTTTATATCCTGCCATTTACTTTTTCATACCACTTGTATGAAATCAGAGTAAGAACTTAGGCATTCTGGACTTCCTCCTCCACAGAGGCTGGGCTTTGTAAGGAGTTCACATCAGTGCCCCAGCCCTTTGTTCCTTCAGGTTAATTTTTAGATTGTAACTTGGTGTATCGTGTGCTTCTCTATTACTACAGATATAGTGTTTTCTTTTCAAAAAGTTCTGGTAGCTTGCTAGAAGAACAGTTAAAACTTAGAAGGTAAATGTACGTTCTCTCCTCTTGAACTCTTTGATGGTTTTACTGAAAGCTCTTTTAGTAACTTTTTGCTCTTGCCTACCAAGTGACAAAATCTCCTAATGTCATAATCTTAATAGTACAAGATATTTTTCTGTTTGAGGCTAGTTGTCTTCATACTCTGCGTATGAGTTACCAGAGATGGGCAGTCGGTCTGAAAGATACCGCCTGGTCATCTCAAAGCTCAAATGCTACACAGATTATTTTTGTGTACCATGTAATGTATATCAAATACTGTGAAAAATCTGAAATTGTGTACACTGATTGAATTGTGTTATTTGAAGTACTCAAAATGCTTCCTTTTCAGTTCTGTATGTCTGGTTGCTTTTCCTGTGGTATAGTGGGACAGAAATGCAGTCAAGTTTGTAACAGCTTGACAAAGACGCTCAGTGTGGTTTCCAAAACACTACAGCAAAACACTGAATTCAAGCTTCCTCAAGAATAGCTAAAGGAGCGTGTATGGGGTTAGTGAAGGATGATATCTGTATGTAGGAAGCAATGCAGAGCAGTAAGCAGTGAAAGGATAATGTTTCTTTGCTCCTAGGCTTTTTCAAGGCAGGTAAGTGGAAAAAGTTGAATAGTTAGGATGAATGGGTAGACTTCTAAATAAATATATTATTTTCTTTGTCTCTTAAGGCGCTGCTTCCACCTAGACCTCTCTTCCAAAACTTGAAATGAATGAAATCACTTTCACTGAATTGAAATAGAATAAAATTAGAAGTGCTATTAGAAGCCTTTGGGACAGGGAATTTTCACATGTGTTTTCTAATGAATGGCATTCTACAGCTGTATCTGTGTAATATTTTGTAGAGCACTAGAAATCTGTGGGCTTCATTCAAAATACTTACTTGCATCACTGAAGAGTATTTTGAGAGACTGTTGAGAATAAGACTTTATTAACTCATTGAGGATATGACATTATTTTACATGCAATAATTTTCAGCTGCAGAGTGCTTTTGTGTAATCTTACAAATCAGATTCAGCTAAAATAAATACTATGGGTTTTGTAATTAGAACTGTGCCTATTGCTTGCGTAACAATGATTTTGCTGCTGTGTATGAGGGAGGGTCAATCCCTGATATGCTGCTGAACAGGGATGAGAGTCTCCACTAAGAACTCCGAGGCCCTGTCACAGCAGTGCAGGCGCTGTGTGCAGAAGCCCAGTGCAGAGATCTGTCTCAGTATGGAAGCACAGAGCTGTCCATGCATATATACTTTGGAATCAGTATAGAAATTATTTTAAAGAAGAAACTGAACAGTGACATCTGACTTTTTTTTTTTTTTTTTTTACTCTTTAAAATGCTACGTGGTACATTTTCTACTTTCCTTTAACTTAAAGAGGCAGGCTTTGATGAATGACAGGTCTTCATCTTTCTCATGGGGAAGAAAGTAGCAAAATAGCAGCTTTGATTCACCTTTCTCTTGAGAGATGTTACAGAATATTTTGTAAGTTGCAATGTCATCTTTACATCAGTTGTATTTTCTTCTCCAGTGATCTTGGCACTTTTTTCCCTATATTTATGTTCTATCTTGTGAAAACATGTAGGAGTCTTTAAATTTGCTTAAATGTCGTGGAAGGCTGACCTTAGAAATGCTCACCCCAGAGCAGAGATGATGAATTTGTCACACAAAGTGCAAATTTTGTTTTGCTTTCCCCAAGACTTTTATTCTTACATGTGTATAAGGCTCTATTTTGGCAGCTCACTGCAGGCAGGTGCAGAGTGCTGCTCCTGAGCACTCTTGCTCTGGGAGTCTGTGCAGATGCACTGGCATGTACGTTCACACCCAGGTGCTGGTCTGAGGGGTTATTAGTAATAGCTGGTTTCCTTCAATCCACGGTTTTCATTTCTAGCAGACCCTAAAAGGAATGCAGTTTTGTTTGTGGAAAAGCTCCGTACCTGTTTACAATTAATTCTGCCGCTGTTTTTCACACAGGTCTCTTGTTTATTTTTCAGAAGCTTCAGAGTTTTATAAAAAATAAAATGTTTAATGATTGGAAAAAATAAATTGAAACAATGCAATGACTCAGAAAAAATCTTTTTTTGGGGGAAAAATTGCTAGCACAACCTATAAGATACCCATATTTCCCATATATATGCAGTGCTTTTTTTCCTCCTGTTAGTATGAGTGTGTGTATGCACCCATGAGGGGCAAATTTTTATCAAGAACAGCGAGAAGAAGTGTACTTCTGAAAAGCTCAAGGCCAACAGAAGAGGTTTTTTTTTCCTTTAAGTTCTTTATTTATGTTCCTGTATGGCAAAAGGAAATAGAAAGCCTATTTCTACATCTAATATGCCATTTATTTTAAATGATTTTTTTCCTCTTGCTGCATTATTTTAGTTAAAGATATTTGTACCAGTACGAAACTAATCTTACATTTGTAAATGAAGTTGAGTCTCTTTAGATTTTTTTATTATTAATGTTGGTATAGTAGGGCTTTTCTTTGTGCTATGCTTACTTATTTGTAGTTAACATACATCTTGATTATGATTTCTGTGTTATTCTACAGGAAAAGTTCTGGAATTAATAGATTTGTATGTTTTCTTTCATTTAATTACGCTTGTTTAATTGGAAATGCCAATGCCTGGTCCATACCAGACTTATCACACAGATTAGTGTAGTTTTTCTGTGTGGCTGCAAGTGGAAGCAGCCCCTCTAAATGAAATTCCTTAGTAACAGTGTTCAGTTCATATGTGGGAAGAACTTAAAACAGACCCAAAGACTCATACTGTGAGTTCTGTAACATTTTGTATCATTTTAAAGTCACTTAGATTTATCTTATCATCCAGAGAGTTAAAGCATATCAGATCTATTGCTTGTTTCCACCGAGATTTAGATATATTCTGTATGCATGCAACAGCATTGAGATCATATGTTCTCTCACTTTTGGAATTTTTAAAAGCTTGATTGCAAATGGAGTGTGGTGTTGTGGTTTTCCGTTGACTTTAATTACTGGCCTAAGAGATGGCAATTGGCAATCTATCTATGTACCTTTTGTCATTAGAATTTTGTTATGTGTTTGCGCTGCTGATAAACAGAACTGGGTGGCTTTCTTTGGCACAATCTGTGTGTGTGCACAGACACCTGACTGTAGCTCTCACTTTTGCTGTTTTATTGAGACTGCAGCCAAGTTTGGAAGGATACTCAAGCCTGGGAAAACTACGTACTTCTGTACTTAAACCATCTGCAGTTGTTGAAAATTCATCTGATCAGGATGCAGGCTCTTTCAGATTTACTGCAATGTAACTGATGTGTACCTGTTTCAGCCTCAGTTCCAGCAATTGTTATTCTTGATTTATGGCTTGCTTTTATGCTTGTTTGAATTGTACTTCTATAAAACTTTCTTCTCTTGCAGTTTTTCCACATATGAAGGGCAACAGATGACATGTTGAATGAACACAATAATTTTTGAGGCATTTGTTTTGGTTGTCGGGAAAAAAACCAAGTACTGAAATTGTTTTGTTTCTTTCTTTCTTTTTTTTTTTTCTCCAACAGAATTGTAACAGGGCACTTACCATCTTGTTCATCCAACAGCTTCATTGAGACCAATGGAAATAACTCTCCAATAGCCACATTCCACTTGCCTGCCCATTGCATAGACTGCCTTCTCAAACATGAGGTAAGCAGACCTGTTTCTCAACTATCTTGTGGTTTACGCTGAGATCACAGCACATTTCGGAAAATTACTTACTTGACCTTTCAAGTTGATATTATCCAGCCATACCAACAATACTTCTATACCTGCTTTGCCTTTGTTTAAGTGCTTAAAATCTGTTAGAAAAATCAGTCTGATTGCTGTTTCCTCATGGCAGTGAACAGCGCTGAGCCCAAACTTTGGCCTGACAGAAGCAGAATATGGAGTAAGCAATGGTGGGAAGCATAGTACTTAGCTAAGTGTATGCAGTGGTCCACATACACAGTCCTTCTCGTATTTACATGTTCCCAAGACCTGATTTTGGAACACCAAATTCTTTTAGGAGTTAACTGGATTTTTGCTCCTCTTCGTACTTCAGGGACCGTCATAGCTCAGACTCCTAGTTTTTCAGATGTCTCTGCTGCAAAAATTCCTCCTAATCCTGAAGTAAGTGATGATGGAGGGAGGATACTTTAGCTGGCACTACAGGCAAAAAAAAAAACCTCTCTCCTCTCCTTTGCCTCTTGGGAACATGTCTGTGTTTGGCTAGTTGCCATGCATGTTGGAAAGGGGCTATCTCTGCTGGGCTGAACTCATGGCTTCAAGGTTTCTTTGGGTTTGTTTGGATTTGTTTTGAAAGACATGGATACAGCTATCTCAAATTTCCCCTAAAATATGTTCATTTGGCCTTGCTTGTAATGAGCTGAATTTCATATTGCCTGTACTGAACAGCCAGCTTGCTACACAGAATCTTAACAGCTTTAATAATTCCCCTAACCATCCAATTAGACTAATAATAAAGGCTTAATTACATATCCAGTTAATCATCAGATTTGTTCACTGAATGGCTTTAATTGGTAGATAGAGCTGTTACACAATTCCAGTTTGAAAGCTATCACACATTTTTGCTCACAGCTATATCCACCCGATTGTTTTTATGATTGAGACTTGACCAGCATTTATTAAGATCATAATAAGGCTCCAGAGTGAAGAAATACAACCACTAGTGCTGCTGCAGCACCCTTCCACTTCCTAGTGCCTGTATTCAAGCCAGGACCTCTCTTTACAGTGCTTTGTACTGCGCATGTTAAAGGAAGTCCAAATATCAAATGACTGCTTTACAGGTTTCCTAAAATGAAGCTGCTCTGTATTCTGCCCAGGTAGTTCCCTCCAAATGACTGTTAAAGACTCTGGGACCTGGAAGCCCCTTGGCTTTGTAGGATTCAATAATGCACCACCTAAGCCATTTTGAAATAGATACTTCAGTAGCCCTGAGTCTTTTCTTATTATGGAAACATATAAATTGGCTCATCCTGTAAAACCCTTCAGTTTTAAAAATGTAAAATCTAATTGCCTTATGGACATTCAAAGAATGGAGGCGCTTCTCTAGGGAGATTTTGCACTGAACCAAAAGATGACAGAACTAGTTACTGATTAAAAAGAAAAGAAGAGTTAACCTCTTGATGCCAGTTGTCAGGATTTCCCTCACATATATTTCTGCCTGGTTTAATTGCTACTGTATTTCTACAGCACACGGATCATAATTCATTTTCTTTAGGGTTGAATGGGGTAACTGGCTACAGAAACCTCATTGTCCCAGTCATTTTCCCTTCATGCTTTCAAATTGAATGCCCTGTAAAATTGCAAAATAATTCCCTTCATTTAATAAGCCTTCCAGTTTCCTGAGTTCACAAGACTCATATTCAGTGTTGAGCTTTAGCTGGCAATATTGACTTTTGCTATGTTTTATGAAGGTAGTATTTGAAACTACCTTAGGTGGGGAGAAGAGCCTTCTGGAATGTCAAGAATAATTATTTTGCCTTTGCATAAATAATCCTTTATCAGAGGATAAGAAATGGTGCTATTTTTAGCAAGCTTTACTCCCTAGGGAAGTAAATGACACATAAAAATGAACTTTCAAAGTGTCGGTCTATAGAAAAAGGAGCAGTGTGTGACAAGAAAAAAAAAAAGTGAATTTCTGTGAATTAGTACAACTCATTATTCGTGCCATACACACTTGCTGCCTTACATTCCCTGCACTGTAGCTGGAATATAAAATAAAACCTTGGCAGCCCTCTCCCCAGCCCTCGGTGGCAGCCGCTCTGATTGGAAGCCACCTACAGAATGGCAGAGAGCATCAAGGAGCTGGAAGCTGGGAAACACGCAGAGCAACCGTTTCTTAAAGTGCATGTCACAAGTTACCTTTAAATATATTTAAGTGATTTAGGTTTAAAAGGCACCTCAGTTCCCCCTTACAACTCATTTAAAAACGTGGGGGGAAAAATACAGATCAGTAGCATGCTGACAAACTGTGATTCTGTGGCTGGATCCTTTATAAAATAGAATAAAAGATTTCAAAAAATGCACAGATGCCAAACCTCAAGTATGAGAAATTATCCTTCTTCAGTAGTTTTAGCATCCTGCATTTCTAACTGGTGTAAGAGCTACAGATTTTTTAGAATGCATATTGCACACAAAGATTGAACAATATTAGTGAGAGCGTAGCATGTAATATTTCTATTAACTTCTCTTCAGTTTATGTGGCTCTTCACAATGTTCATGATACAAATCTAATAGTTTTTATGACCGGTGTTGGAAAAAAATCAAGATCCTACCCATCAAACCCTGAGGGTCTCAGGTAGCACTACACAATGTTTGTGGCGTACATAGCACCGTAGCGTTTAGGTGGCACCAAAGCTAACAGCTGCAGATCTTAGAAGCCTATGATGAATTGACTATAATGGACTCCTGCCCACTCTGCACCACCTTATCTTGCATCTCAATGCATCTCCCTCCCTGAACTGAAATGAGAGCTAGCCTGGTGTGTCCTTATACAGAGGACATGAGAAGGGCTCCTGAGCAGAGCCTATCCATTCCTTGTGTGCCTTCAAATGCCCAAGGAGCCTCTTGTGAGTGCAGTGTTTGGTGTTTTCTGCCTGTAGATTTTCCTCCTGGCTGTCTTCCGAGGTGTCTTCCTAACAAAGCATGTCTTTCATTGCGAGAGTGGCATAAGTAAAGAGAATTTCTTCACGACTGGGGAATTCTGTCTAGCATCTCAATGTCTTTTTGCATTACTATGTTTCATAACTACTGCTATTGAAGGAAACTCAGTACTCTTTCCTTCTATTCCAGTTCTTTCATTGGTGAAAGTCAGCAGTGCTTTCTGAACTCCTGGACCTTCATCATTTTCAGAAAAATTTAGTCTGCTGAATTTCTAAAGGCTTTTTAAAAATCAAGATCCTGGTAGTTCTCTGATTATTGGAGTCTGCCATACCATCCTTACGGTAACAATTTCTAAACCAGGCTGAGATTCCTTTATTTGTATCTCCCATTATGCAGTGCAACACTTTGCTTATAACCATATCAGGAATCTTTCTAGTTTACAATGGTTCATTAAGTGCCTACAATTAAGCATCTGTTCAAACTGAAATGTTAAACTTTATGGCATTTGGGTTGACAGTCAAGTGTGTTCAATACAGATGCCACATTTCAGTACTTGATTTTTAATATTATGTGGCCTTTACGTCAGCTTTTTCTGCCTTATTTTTTTTCTTATCCTTACAGATTCTTCTCAGAAAGATACATTACAGCTTGTTTTTGCTTCTCCAAAACCACTTACAATTCTGCCCTGGTCTGGCTGTATGACCTGTCATTTTTTTGTTTACCTCTTTTGCAAATGATATGATCCTTGAGATCTTTTAATATTCATACTTTACATCAATTTTTTTTTCTGTTTCCCCATTTACTCAGCTCCATTCAAAACTCTTTTATTTTTTTCACTCACTAGTGCAGTAATTAGTTCTTAGAAAGCTCATAGACCTGCAAACTGTACCGTGGCTAAGTGAAGTTGTCTTGTGATCCTATTCCTGTGATTCTTACTCTTCTCAGCATGCATCCCTCTCCCTTCCTGTTGCTCGCCATGGTCTTGTCAAACATTCAAATTTAAGCTCTTCGGGAAGGGCTTTATGTTTTAATGTTTCTTCATGGATTCTGATGCACTGTAAGAATAAATGAATACTCAAGTTCAGTCTGCTAAAATTTATTTGATATGCCAGCACTCTTCTCCTGTGCTTTGAATCCAGCAGAATGGGCAAACTAGGTTTTTGATTTTTCTATGTCCAATGACCTTAACTGCCAAATTATGAATGCAATTTACAACTGTCGCAGCAGTGGTCTAACCGTTTCTTGGTGCTAACCTTACTGAAGGGCTGTTACAGCAGAAGATAACCTGTTTTCAGATGCTTTTGAGTCGTAAGACTTACACTGAAGGATACAGATAGAATTGAGAAAGGCTGTTTGAATCCGGCCTTATCCAACAAGACTTTCAGCTTTTCAACACAGAAATAATACCCTGGTTTAGGCTACACAAGCATGAGACACAAATTTGTGACAGACTGCATGAAACTTAGAATGCCGACTGGGAGCATTCATAAGATAAAAGAAGTGGTTTCAGACTGAAGGCTAAAGAACATGTTCATATGTTATGTAAAACTGGAGTAATTTCATCTGACGCTCCAATAACACAACAAAAACTGGATTTTATCATTAGTTAGTACTGTGCAAATCTGGAGTGCGAAAGAAGAGAGGAAAGGAGACTTTAAATGTGGTATTGCCTTCTGATATCAATGTGCTACTGCTGGATACAGTGCTTAAAGTCAGAGCTGGGGTATAAATTGAAGCGGTTCAGACAAATGAATTCATCCTGTTTCTGAAGTTCCTTGGTAGCAGCTGCTTTCCCGCTAGTTCTGGTTTAAAATATATACATGAATAAGTACTGTTTGTGGCTGGCTATCTCTGCCTGTAACTGTAGTGACTGCAGAGTAACTTCATTTTCCCTCCCCCAAATCCATTCTAATATGGAAGTATTAAATAACAAAATCGTTCGTAGATCGTCACTTAAACTTTTAACCCTTTCTGCCAATGCTGGGGAGTTGAAACATGTGAGAGGAATCTGCCTCTAGAAATTTTATGGGAATTATTGACCATGTTTTTTGTTTAAATTTATTATTTTTCTCATTATGAAATTATTGGAAGAAATAGAATATGTGCAAGTTAGTGTTAATAAAAATGCTATTGCACAAAACTACACTATTAGCCATGTAATTGAAGAACCTGGAGAAGTCTGGAAACTTGATTTGTATAAGCATCTAAAAAGCAAATACAAATGAAGTGTATAAGCATCTTCTCCCCCTGTACATGATGATATTCATTACTCACACAGCTACTAAGAATTAATTCTTCTGATTCTTGTGTAAATGTAGCTTTGCCCATGACTTCAGACTGTTAGGAGAGCTGGCTAGGCTGGAGGGAATTCCTTCTCTTTTTTTATTTTTTAATTAGCAATCCTTAGCTTCATTCTTGTCTGTTTTATTGCTTTCCCAGCTGAAGCCATAGCCTGGGAGTGGAACTGGGTGATGTTTGTGGCACTCAGAGCCTGCTTCTCAGAGTGCCTTCTCTCCCTGGTGACTTCTGGCCACTGGCCCCTGCTTCCCTGCTGAGCAATGCAGTCAGACATGCAGCCAGAGGCTAATATTTTTGAAAGTGCATTGTAATCTGAAATCTGATGTTTCCATTCTCCTTAAGTGGTATGATCTGCAAAATAAGTATAAGTAAAAATAAGTATGCTTCTTTAGTCTTTTTTTTTTTTTTTTTTTTTTTTTTTTTTTTTTTTTTAAGATGGAGAAGTTCTGAGTTTAGGCACCCACTGAGAAAAAAGAACTGGCATCAGATGCAACACTGATTTAGTAGGGGTGACTTTTTTCACAGCATGTTGGTAACATTGCATGAAAAGGACACACTTTTTTGCATGATGATTTTATTTACAATCTCATGCATCTTGAAGCCTAACTGATTGCTAGGTCTGTCACTCTCTGAAAAGATGCTCTTACTTTTCATATTTGTGGAAAAATACTGATGGGGAACTACAGTAGTAGGCACCATGTGAATCAAGTGGGTGCTGCCAAACCATGTAGTCAGAGACACTCTGTGCAGGAGATATGGTTTTTATTGGAGAATTGGGATTAGCCTGTGCAGGAGCCAGGTCTGATAAGCCCCCTGGAGTCTTCAAAGCTGAAGTCACAGAATTTATTATTTTAAAAAACATTGGCTACGGCTTTAAGCTATTAAGAATGAAATGGATTTACAGGCATTCATCTTAATTTTAGCTTTATATTGTCACCACTGTAGCTAAGCATCTGACGGACTTTAAGTTATTCTCTTCCATTTTGCAATTCTTACCTCCTATTTTTGCCTACCATTATGGCATCTCTTTATCAAATAGGCATTTGGGGGTCCCTGCTGCTGCTTATCCTTAGCACAGTATGTTTCTGATTGACATCAACCAGAGAGTACCCAGTGCTGCTAACTTGGGCTGAGAGAACAGGCTAAAGCCCTTACTTGCTCACAAAATCTATCCTGAGAAATGTGCATAGCTAAAATGGAAGCTCGATTATTTTCTATGGGAATTGTTGCTCATGCATAACTGGGAAATGGGGGGAAAATAACACAGCAAGGAAAGCCTTCAGAAAGAGAGAAAGTAGGTGATAAAAATAGGGCATTTTCCTGACTGAATTTTCAGGCTGTACAGCAAGAGGTTTCATTCCTCATTTTTGACCTTAAAAAAATAAAAAGCGAGGGGGGTGAGTGGGAACTGGTACATCAAATCAGTACTGGAGATTTCTTAATAGACTTGAAGTTCCTAAACAAATTGCACTTTATTTTGCATTTGCTGATCACACTGGAACTGGGTGTAGCGTGTTTTAAAGCATTCTATAATTCAAAGGCATGTAATGTGAGAGTCCACGTCACAGCTTTTATGAACACGAAAAGTAGTTAGAAAGCTGGCACTGCAATTCCTGAGCAACACGTCTGCTCTTCATGCCATGATCAACTTGATCTAAACTGGTCAGACAGTGTGACAATGGAATTAATGTATATATATATACATATATATATGTGTGTGCATCTATTAAAAAAAAAAAAAAAAAAAAAAAAAAAGGAAATCCATAAGTGATTATTTTACTAATTCTCAAAAGCATGGATTTTTTTTTTTTTTCAAAAGATAAAAAGATAAAAAGTGTGCAACTATAGCATGGAAACGAATGTGCGTGCAATAGACATACCTATTTGTGTATAAGATAGATTGTGTGTATAATGTAAAACTCTGTAATGTCCAGTGATTTCAGCTATAAGTGAGCCCCATCTGGTGGTGATTTAAAGAAAGAGCTACTGGGGAAACCGCAGGGAAAATATTCACAAAAGACTTTAAATGTCTTTTCAAAAGACAAAAGATTTATCAGATACAAATGCATCTAGGTGAAATGCAATTTCTACTCTAATTTTAATGCTCAGATGTGCTTTGTAAAGTAATACTTATGTCTTAATAAAGAGGGAAAAGTGTATGTTTGGAAAATTTGCAGATAGTTTCCAGCCTTTTGTGGCTTTTGAGTTTTAAGACAAATGCTTGGTTATGATGTAGTGACCTTTCGCATCTGATTCAGATAAATTTTAGCAATGCACCAGCTTGTGAGGACAAGAAAAGTGAATCGGCAGAATAGTGTACTGGCTGGCTGTGTACGTGAAGTTCCTGTAGAGGATCTGTGTATTATTGATCATCTGGAGCTGGCCTACATTAACTTACTTTCCAGATTAGCAGCAAGTACTGAAGAGTTTGGAATTGTCACAGCAGTATCTCTTTTGGTGTGACAGTGGTGCCGGGCTTTGCCATAAGAGTGTGTTAAACTTGTGTTTTGCCATTGCTTTGAATACATATCACAGTGAAAAAGAATGTATCTCCCTGATGCTATATCTTGTGGAAAAGATAGGCTGATCTCACCCAGAGACTGCTGAGATGACATGGAGAGCAGGAAGTACAGGGACTGCTGGGGTGAACCCACAAGGCCAGTGGGGCCCCAGTTACATATCTGCACAAGTCTGAGTCAGGTTGTGATGGTTTTGGGGGCCTCTTCTTGCCAGAGACCTAGAAACAGCATCCTTTCTGCCTCCCACGTCCTCTCTTTGGAGGGTGAGTACGGATAAACCACAGCTTAGCAAGGTCAGCCTGCTCCGGGTTTTATCCAACAGGCAAGGTTTGGGATGAGCAGAGAACACGGCTGTAGGATTGTGAGGTGTGGGAGCTGCTCCAGCCTTGTATGGGGATCTGGGCTTGGAATCTGCATCCAAACTCAGATTCAGGTCTGTGTTAATCCTAATCCACAGGTGGAAACTTAATGCCCATTCATTTCTTCAAACTTCTACATTTTTACACTCTTCTTTGATTGTAAAGCTGTACAGAACTATAAACGTGGCTCATATTCTAATTCCACCTAATGTTGAAACTAATTTTTTAGTGTACTTTTATAAATTTGATTTGTTGATTCATTGAAATTAGAAATGCTCAGGTATTTGGTAGGCAGTTAGCTCAGTTGTGACATGAGTCAGACTGCCCACGATGTGGCGATGTGCTCAGCACAGGAACAGAGCGCAGGGGTTCTTGGATCCTGCAGGTACCTACACAGACTCTCAGTGCCTGCTTTTCTCTTCTGAGTGGGAACCGCTGGCATGTTGTTGATCTGCTCGTGTTACATTCATGTTTTTTGTTCTTCCAGTATACTGATAAGTTCAGTGTGAGTGGTTTGTGGAGTTTACTCAGCATGTTAATCAGCAATACTCTCACTGCTGTTTTATAGGTCTTCCATTGCAATTATTTGTTTTGACTAAATCACTTCATTTTTGTTCAAGTTTGTTTTTTTTGTTTTTGTTTTGTTTTTTAAATGAACTGCATAATTTTTAGCTTTACCTGTAAATTATAACATCAATACGAGACCCCTTTTTTACAACATGCTGTTCTTCGGGAAAATTTGAAAAGGATTCTGTTTAAAATATTTTGGAGGACTGGGAAATTGAATTATGGTTAAATTAACCAAGTATTTTTCTTCCCTGCTTGAACTAATATTTATGCCATCTCATGCTATCTAGTTGCTATGAATCTCCATAGAGAAGCTATTCCATGGCG